AATTTTCGCCATGAACCCTTAGGGTTTCAAACTGAAACCGCCGCCGACAAACCCAAAAATCTTTGATTTTTTTTATTTTCAAAACAGATCCAGAATTGGAAAAAATTGAAGAAAAAATCAAAGAAAAATCCGAAAATTCCAAAAAGTTACTGTTCACCGGCGATTTTTTCAGTTACTGTTCATCCGGGGAAAAAAACTTGACTGAATCCGAAAAATTTTTCGTTACTGTTCATCCGAACATTACTGTTCATCCGAGAACAAAATTAAATCTTTAACCAGAGATTTAAGATAAAAAAAAACCCAATAAAACTTAAATCCCTAAGAATTAATCAAGGTGGCTCTGATACCACTTGTTAGATCTACATCATAAAACTTGAGATCTAAAACCATATAGCCATGATTAATTCAAAGAGATTAACAAATAATCAAAAGAGCGGAAGCTTATACCTGAATCCATGGATGAAATCTTGATTTGGGTTTTTGATGATCTTCTAACCTTAGGGTTTCTCTAAAACCGAATTTCTCTAGCTAGATGGGGGTGTAGAGAATTAGAGAATATAACCCTAGGTTAGGGACCATAACCCCTTATTTATAGATGTTGTACTTTTGTAATTTAGCCCCTCAATAAATCACAATTACAACCTGGTATCTGCACATATAACCCCATGATTATATTTAAATACCCATTAACCCAACTTAATTGATCACTTTAGTGGGTTATCCTGAAAGATAGCAATACACATTGATTAATCATATGTGCCCACAAATAGATTTATTAGATTAAATCCAACAAGAAAAAGGCTGACGGGAGAAGAAGAAAGAGTTGGGTAGGGTTTCAGGTACACTTAAAATTCCTTTTTGCTATTAGAACCCTCTAACAATATTTGCATAAAAGTCCTTTTACTTTTCCTTATATATATATAGAACCAATAAAACCTAGAATTATTACAATATTAATATTCTCTACAAGCTTGTGAATTCAAAATTCATAAGAAAAAAACGAACAAAAGTTTTGAAAAGATATTTTACAGAATGAAAAGGAAAGTATCAAGTATGTGTTGATAATACTCTTGAACGTGGACCCTAAAAGCAACATATCGATCTCTGTCGCAATTTAATATATAATTAAACTTCATGAGAGCATTCCTCGATCGAATGAGCTCCACAGCTACATCCTCATAGCATTTTCTGCAACGCAAATGACAAATATTCTGAAATGATGGAACTGATCTATTGAATGGACTGATAATACCCATCCATCTCCATTAATTGCGTTCTCTGCAGTTTTTGCCCCCCCGCCCCCCAAACTTTTCAGAGCATGTCCCTAGCTTCCCACGAATGGCAGCCTCCTCACGTGCGTGCATGCCATTTGGCAGCACATAAACGCCTTCATTTACTTCTGTTGTTATTTTGAGATCGAAGATAGCTGGTCTAGGGCACCAAACCATCAAAGATCTACACATTGCGGGGGTTTTTTTTTTTGACAATAATTAATACGTACAACCTGCCCTTTTTTGTTTGTCTGTTGCGACTCGTGAGAGGATTAATGAGGAGATGAATGAATGTGGGAGTTTTAAGTCTCTTTTCGAAGCGCTTTCATTTGTTACGGAAGGACGAGGGGGGCCTGCTGAATAATTAATGGTGATGGAAAGCAAAGGGGGCCTGCCTGAACTCATATTATCACCTTTCAGAGGGATACAGGATGTGTGGGGGTGGGCAGCGGGCTGGCCCGTGCGGTGCGGGCCCCCAGTGCGGCGGGCGAGCAGAGCTCGTGCTCGTGGCTCGCCTGCAGGACCCCGGCGCGTTTCTAAGCGCTTGTTCTCAAGCCATGGAGCTCGATCCAGCCCGCTCGCGGGCAGCGATAACAGGCAGGATGGCGCATCAACTAGGGGTGTTAAGCCGGAGGCGGATACGGCTCGGATATGAAACTTACCATATCCATATCCGCTTACCCATCTCGGATACGGATACGGATATACGTCGGTAAGAAAAATTTATAAACCACATCCGCCAAAATCGGATACGGTTACGGATATAGATGCAGATATATAAACGGATATGCATGCGGATAAAAAAGAATATGAGAAAACTAGATAGTATTCAGAAAAATATAGTCATGTGATACAAAAAGAGTTCGTTAATATGTTCATTATGATTGAAAAGCTAAGATTAGACATCTTGATCATCAAAATTAACTACAAATCCATAATCTAAGAATCGAAACTATCGTAAGAGTATTACCAATATGTATTCAGATTTTTTCGGATACGGATACTGATATTTCACTACAAAAACATATTCCTGTGCATTGGCGAGATTGTAAATTTCTTTTGGGCAACGGTTGTATTTTTGTGATATTTGCAGTATTGATTGACCTTACGCGCTGACCCACCTGTCCCACTTGAAAGTTTTTGCTTTTTCTTTTTTTTTTCTTTTTTTTTGTATTGTTTTATTTTATTGTCTTTTAAGGATTGATGGCACATGAAAAATTATGATTAAATAAGAAACTAACAATTTGACGATTACAAGCGATAACAAATAATTTTATTAATATCTCTATGAATATTTAGACAAGTAGTTTTATTAATAGTTCGATAAAGTAGTTAGCTAAGTTATGTCAATTCTTTTAAAATATAGAGTTTTTAATTGCCTATGCTTGAATTTCACTTCAACTAGTTCACAAAATATATATACTTATCTATATCTAGTTATATCTATATCTATACTACTACAAAAAGAGGATTGATGTGTTAAAACTTTTAATTTTATTTTTTTACCCTCTCAAATTTTGATAAAATTCTATATATGTTATTATCTCTAATTAATCTTCCATTAAATAAATATAACTGCTTATTAATTATGCGCCTCCTAAATAATTATAATTATCAATAATATTATAACTATTAATTATTTAAAAATAATAAATAAAATAATTTATAAAATAAGTATACACAATTATTAGTAGTAACCAATTAAATTATTATAATAATTATTTTGTAAATTATAATAAAATAATTAAGATAATAGTATAAATAGAATGATATATTACAAAGTACTATTAAGAATTATACTATAACTCGATAAGCAATAAAAAATAGAATGGATTTTGAATCACATAAGTAGTGTAATTATATTAATAATATCACATAAATTACGAATTATACTATTTATTTAGTATTATATTACTAAATAAATCAAATAAATAATTTAATATTATTTTTAGAGTATTTTCTCAAAGATTATTATATGATACCGAATAATCTATACTTGGTAATGACTGAAAACTAACCCTTTTACCAAAAAAAATATGTAGTATTAATAATAGTACTAATTATTGATGATATTATAATAAAAATTTATAAAATATTTATAGTACTAAATTATTTAAGAGCATAATTTAAAAAAGTAAATTAGATAAATATTTTATAGTATATAGACAGTATAATTATTTTAATAGTATTACTTAAACTAAGAATTATAATATTAAATAAAGCAAATTACAGTATACCCCCATGAAATTTTAGCATTTTGTAGTAAATAGACCCTATGAGCTTTTTAAATCACACTAAACCCCTAATAACTTTTGTAGAAAGCCCCCAATATCTTTTAGATAAAATTACACAAAACCCCAATTTAATTTTAAAATGTCTTTTATGTCATTTTCTGGTTCTAATTAATTGGGGTTATCTGCGAAATTTAGAATATTAGTTTGGGGTCTTCTTTGGAACAGACAAGTCATTAGGGGTTTAGTGCAATTTTAAAAGTTTATATAGGTTGTAAGTTCACAAGCGTTTAGTACAATTTACCCTATTAAATAACTACATTAAGAGGTAACTGTTACAATATGTTGCAGGTATCAATTATAACTATTTAGCGAATATATCTAGGGAATATATCTAAGGAATATTAGGAAAAGCTAGCAATATTAATACAGCTTAGTTAATTTAGAGTTAAGTTAACAACTTTCAAGTTGGATGGCCATATTTAAGAGAACTTATAGAATTGGCAGTTTTATTTAAGAACTGTTTAGATTTGGGGACTTATTTAAAAATAGGTTAACACATGGCGATTATTACAAGGAAAACATTTAATTTCAATAACTATACAATAATAATTAATTCATACATTTCTTTTTAAGCTTTAAGCAATCATATTATATTTATTAACGCATAAAATTCAGAACTTACAACATGTACATTCACGTGCTTTGCACGTGGATTATACTAGTGTTGATAAAACTATTATCATAATTGAACATAAAATTATAGATATGATGGGCGGGGATGAGCTGCTCAGCCCGCCTATAAGTGGACCCATCTCGTTCAAAGGGCCAAGCAGGTTGAGCGGGATATTAGCTCACATGGGTTGAGGGCCAATTCAGCTCGTCCCGTGGCCCACTCAAGAAACGAGCTAAGACCATCCCGTCCTGCCACCAAGCCGAGTCACGTTAGGACGAAATGCATGCCAAGCGAACGAGCTACCGAGCCAACTCGGCCCAGTGCCCACCCCTAATTAGGCGAGTACATGATTGCTCTTTGAGACATTGTAATAAATTCCACTTGCAATGTCCATGAGATTTGAGGTTGGAATTCAGCGTGTTTATTCTATAAAGGTACCCCAGTTTATAAATCTAGTTATAATCAATTCCATCAGGAAATCCATTTTCCGCCACAGTAATGTGCTTGCCAGAATATATATTAACTAAAAAAAGGGGGAAAAAAAACGAAGGAAGAATAGTAGTAGAGGACAAGAACAAAACGTGGACGGCAGGATTCGAACCTGCGCGGGCAGAGCCCACATGATTTCTAGTCATGCCCGATAACCACTCCGGCACGTCCACCCAATCGATAACAGTTTTCTCCACCATTACTTTCACAGGCAAAGCATCACGAAGGTTCGATCACAAGGGCATTCACGCTCCTAGATTTTCAGTTACTACGGCATTCACACTCCCAGATTCATTTTTGGAGACGAACAAATCACAAATGGAATCATTAGGATGCAGATCAAGAACGTTGAAACCAGTGAAAGCTTTCTCAGTACACGATTGGAGACATCAAATATGCTGCGCGATATATACAATTCATAAAATTTAAGCAGGACGAGGGCCAAACTTCTTGCCCTTCCAACAACTTCAACCTGAAATTAACATCACAACGTGTTGTCCCCTGTTTGAATGCGCCGGTTTTCAGACCTCTCCGAAAAACATCAGTCCCTGAAAACAGGAAGCAACTCATTCACTCGATAATCATGAAATTTTCCTCAGCCGACGACGCCCAGATACAAATCACAATCCCCTAGGATTTCTGTCCTGTTTGCATCGATGCAACCAGAGGTTCCGAATGGCTGGGATCCCCATTCCATGAATGATTGCCTCCATCTGACATTCCATCCATCGTCATCAAAGACGGCTTATGAAGAGCAGAAAATTCTTTGCTCCCTTCTCCGAAACTTCCAACACATATTGTATCTCCCCTGCCATGCCAAACACCATCTTGAACATTGTTCATCTCCAGCGTTCTGGACTCCTGCCCAATCAAAGCAATTATCCGTCTTTCTTAGTTAGCTGGTTTTCCTTGATATGGGAAAATTACCAATGTTACTTCAGGCTTGTGTAACATTTCTGCAACCAATTAAAGGAAGAAAAATTTGGTAATAACCTGGGAGAGCGCGCAGCATGGACAAATGAGATGGTAGGCACACTCATCTAACGAACTGTCACTCCCCTGCAGGAAAACAACAATATCAGTTGCATTAAAACAATAAGCTCTCTACAAAAACCTTATGCAACCCCCAGTAGTTGCACACAAAGAAAAAATGCAACAAGACATAAATATTTAGTAGAGGGGCTTACCCCAATGTTAAACTGCTTCTTGATCCTAATACGAAAATAACCCACATACAGTCCTAATGAGAAGGCAAAAGAAAATCCAATGTATAAATAGCAATGCTGTCTGGTGACGCCAAATGCAATGAAGCAGGATAGAATAGCCATTACAAGGATAAAATAGATTGAACCCTGGAAAACAAAAAAGAAGAAGAAGAAATGGGTTAATTCTAGTGACGAATGCTCCTGGACAACGAATGCAGGTCACAAGAAGCCAAGCTGCTAGCTAGTTACAAGAATCTCTGCAGGGTTAGCTCGTACAAAAATCCAAAAGTGTGTTGTATTACAAGTTACCAAAAATATCAAATTAAAATGATAATCCTAATAATACGACCTTCCTATTTTATATTTGTGAGGTGCATATAAATGTTGAAACATGACTTGAATTTAAATGCTAAATATTGCATTCTGAGTAGAAGATAAGTAGAGATATCAAATAGAAAGACAATAGTAAATGACAGTATTGACATATGAATAGACTGCAGAGTGTTGGGACAAACCCGGGGCCCAATAGAACAGGATCGCAACAATAGTAGTGAAAATAAAGGTAAAAAAGATGGACACACAGATTTACGTGGTTCGGCACAAAATTGCCTACGTCCACGGGCAATGATAGAAGAATCCACTTTGAGGAGAAAACTCTGAAGTTACAATCTCTCTTTACAACGAGATACTCTCTTTATTTTCTCTCTCTCACTCTTCTATATGAGGAGTTGTTTCTAAGATGAGTTTTTCCTTAAGAGTTTGGGGCCTATTTATAGTGTTTTAAAAAATACTATATACTAATAAAATATTAATATTTTACTGTGCAGCTTTAACATTTTCAACTCTGCCGAACTTTGTTTGAAAATATGGTTTGTGGGGCCCACTCACTTTTCATTTGTCAAAAAAAGGCTACTAACTTTTGGCTGGTTGTTGACAATCTCCCACTTGAAGATTTGATTGAGCATCAATCATATCTTCACACCATACTTTCTATCTTGCTATCTTCATATTGCTTATGTCTCCGACAGATCACAAGAGGATCGATACCAAATAAATTTGTCAATATTGACTTTTTTTGTCAAAAAATCTGCTAGGTTATCTTTGGTGTGAATTTTCTGCATATCCACTATTCCTTCTTCCACTTTCTCACGAACGAAGTGGTACTAAACTCAAATGTGTTTGGTCTTTGAATGAAAGGCTGAATTTCTTACCAAATGCAAAGCACTCTGACTGTCACAAAATAGAGATATCTTCTTTTGTTCATGACCGAGTTCCTCCAGCATCATCTTCAACCACATTGCCTCTTTACTAGATTGTGTAGCTGCTACATACTCTGTTTCTGTTGTTGAAGTAGCTACAACTGACTGCAGTTTTGAAACCCAACTTACACCTCCGCCAGTAAGTGCAAACACATAGTCTGTGGTGGATTTGCTATTATCACGATCACTTGCATAATCAGAATCAACATATACACTGACAATAAAATTAGATCACCCATAACATAATGTAACATTTGATGTTCCCTTAATGTATCTTAGGACCCTCTTTACAGTATTCCAATGCTCTTTACCAGAATTTGTCATGTATCGACTAACCACTTTCACTAATTGTGTAATGTCTGGTCTTGTACAAATCATAGCAACATTAAGCTTTCCACTGCTGATACATACGGTACTTGAGACATTTCCATCATCTCTTCTTCACTGCTAGGACTCATACTGGAAGATAACTTGAAATTAACAGGAAGTGGGATAAAAATTGATTTACAATCTTGCATGTTAAAGCGCCGTAAGATTTTGTTCAAGTAATTCTTCTAAGAAATCCAAATCTTCCTATTAATTCTGTCTCGGTAAATTTGCATCCCTAAAATCTTGCTTGTAGATTCTAAATCCTCCATTTCAAATTTCCTAGCCAACTGAGCCTTTAATTCTTTGATACGATCTTTTGTTGGGGTATTGTCAATAACTAGCCGAAAGTTCGCTGCCTTTTTTTGACAAATGAAAAGTGGGTGGGCCCCACAAACCATATTTTCAAACAAAGTTCGGCAGAGTTAAAAATGTTAATGGTGCACAGTAAAATATTAATATTTTATTAGTGTATAGTATTTTTCAAAACATTATAAATAGACCCCAAACTCTTAAGAAAAAACTCATCCTAGAAACAACTCCTCATATAAAAGAGTGAGAGAGAAAAAATAGAGAGTATCTCCTTATAAAGAGAGATTGTAACTCCAGAGTTTTCTCCTCATAGTTGATTTTTCTATCCTTGCCCATGAACGTAGGCAATTTTGTACCGAACCACGTAAATTTGTGTGTTCATCTTTTTTATCTCTATTTTCACTACTATTGCTGCGATCCTGTTCTATTAGGCCTCAGGTTTGACCTAACAAGTGGTATCAGAGCCAACTTAGGGTGCTTGTATATATCTACTTATCGTATACTCTGTGGCTGCCACTAAAGGTGAATCCTCCACATCAGAAAATAAGTTAGATTATCATTTATCCTCTGAAGGTGACGAGTACTATTCATGAATATGATATTGTTCAAAAATACAATACTATTCACAAGTACGATATTATTCATGGATACGGTTACTGTTCATAAATACAGTTACTATTTATATGAAATAGTAAGAAATTATTGTTCGTGGTAGAAGTAATGACGGCAAAGTTTAAAATCAAGAAATTCGACGAGAGTAATTTCTTACCGTGGAAGTTAAAGATAAAGACTATCTTGAGAAAAGATAATTGCCTGACGGCCATCGGTGTAAGGTCGGACGACATCACAGATAATAAAAAATAAAACGAGATGGACGAAAATGCTATTGCAAATCTACATTTGGCATTAGCAGACGGGGCGCTGTCAAGCATAGAGGAGAAGAAGACAACAAAGGAAATCTGAGATAATCTAACAAAACTATATGAGGTAAAATCCATGCACAACAAAATTTTCTTAAAAAGGAGACTTTACACTCTGAGGATGGCGAAATTTACATCGATGACCGATCACATCAACACCATAAACACACTGTTCTCCCAACTCACAGCATTGGGGCATGCAATCGGTTCGAATGAACGTGCAGAACTTCTACTTCAGAGTCTACCTGACTCTTATGATCAACTCATCATCAACCAGACAAACAACGTCCTCATGGAGAATTTAGTCTTCGACGATGTTGCAGCCGCTATTCTGGAGGAAGAAAATTAGCGTAAGAACAATGAAGACATGCAGACAAGTTCACAACAAGCGGAGCCATTATCGGTAACGAGAGGAAGATCAACGGAACGTGGCTCTAATGGGAGTCATACCCATGGTAGATCCAAATCAAGAAGTACAAAAAATGTCAAATGCTATAACAGTGACAAAAGAGGAAACGGCAAATCGGAGTGTTGGCACAACAAGAAGAGTGGAGATAAAAAGTCTTCAAAGCCATTAACATCTCAAAGACGCGTTGTCAGCACATCAGACGATGGTGAAATTTTATACAGTGAAGTAACCACTATTGATGAAGGCAGAAAGATGTTTGCTGATGTCTGATTTCTGGATTCAGCAACCTCCTGACACATGACCTCCTAGAGAGAATTGTTTCACAAATATGAACCTATCTCAGGAGGATCTATATTCATGGAAAATGATCATGCCTTGAAAATTTCTGGTATTGACACTATCGAAATCAAAATGTTTGATGGTACAGTACACACTATTCAAGATGTGCGACATGTGAGGGCCTGAAGAAGAATCTATTGTCTTTAGGACAATTAGATGAGCTCGGGTGTAAGATCCATATAGCAAACAAGATCATGAAGATTGTTAGAGGGATGCTTATTGTTATAAAAGGAGAGAAGATAGCTGCAAATCTATACATGCTCACGGGAGAAACCCTGCAGGAAGCTAATTCATGTATGACATCAACCAGCCGTGGAGAAGAACAAACCATGATATGACATCGCAAACTAGGTCACATGTTAGAACGAGGCTTGAAGATTCTCTCCGATCAGAAACTGCTTCCTGGACTTAATTCGGTAGCTCTTCAATTCTGAGAGCATTGTGTTACAAGTAAGTAGCATCACCTAAAGTTCAACACATCGAGTTCTAGAAATAAGGCTATTCTGGAACTGGTTCATTCTGATGTATGGAAAGCACCAGTTACATCATTGGAAGGAGCGAAATATTTTGTCATTTATTGATAATTACTCCAAGAGATGTTGGGTGTATCCTATCAAGATAAAGGCAGATGTGTTCTCAGTCTTTAAAACCTACAAAGCGCGGGTTGAGCTTGAATCTGAGAAGAAGATCAAGTGCTTGAGATCAGATAATGGGAGAATACACAGACGGTGAATTCCTAGCATTCTGCAAGCATGAAGGCATCAAAAGACAATTCAGTATGGCTTATACTCCTCAACAAAATGGAGTGACAGAACGGATGAACAGAACTTTGTTGGAAAGAACCAGAGCTATGTTGACAACTGTAAATCTAGATAAAATCTTTTGGGCAGAAACAGTAAAAATCACCTGTTATGTGGTGAATCGATCTTCATCAAAATACAGTTAATAACGCCGATGGAGATGTGGACTGGCAAGCCAGCTGATTATTCTAACCTCCATATATTTGAAAGTCCAGTGTACGTAATGTACAATGCCCAAGAAATTACAAAGCTGGATTCAAAATCCAAAAATACTTATTCTTAGGGTATGCTGATGGAGTAAATGGGTATCATCTGTGGGATCCCACTGCCCACAAGGTTATTATCAGCAGAGATGTTATCTTTGTAGAGAACCAACGACAAAGTGAAGAGAAAGAAAATAGTTCGAGGAAGGACTCAGAGACTATAGCTGTTCAGGTAGAAGATAATTTGAATTCTTCTGAAGCAACACCGGAGCATGATATACAAGAACCGGTCGAGTCCAAGGCTCCAGAAATTCGAAGATCAACTCCTGAGATAAAACCACTGACTTGGCACTCGGAGTATATTACGGAGAGTAATGTTGCATACTGTCTTCTAACGGAGGATGGAGAACCATCAACTTTTTATGAAGCTATAAATGACATAGATGCATCTTTGTGGATGGCAGCAATGCAGGAAGAAATTGAATCTCTCCATAAGAACAAGACTTGGGTACTTGTGTCACTACCACAAGGAAGAAAGACCATTGTAAATAAATAGGTGTACAAGATCAAGCGAAATGACGATGATCAAGTGGAACGATATTGTGCTAGATTGGTGATAAAATGATATGCTCAGAAAGAAGGTATTGACTTTAATGAAATATTTTCTCATGTTGTTCAACTTACAACAGTCCGAATAGTCCTGACTATGAGCGCTATATTTGACTTACATCTAGAGCAGCTAGATGTGAAAACAGTCCGAATAGTCCTGACTATGAGCGCTATATTTGACTTACATCTAGAGCAGCTAGATGTGAAAACAACATTTCTTCATGGAGATCTTGAAGAAGAAATTTACATGCTCCAACCAGAAGGTTTTGAAGAAAAAGAAAAAGAGAACCTGGTTTGCAGATTGAACAAATCTATGTACAGTCTAAAGAAGGCGCAGAGGTGTTGGTATAAGAGATTTGATTCATTCATCATAAGCCTTGGATACAATAGATTTAATTCAGATCCTTGTGCATATTTCAAGAGGTTTATTGTTGTATGTTGACGACACAGAGAATCCTAAACCAACTACCACCGAACAGTCTTCGGTATACAAGGACTTGACAAACTGGAGGGTTATACAATGACCCAGCTGATCATGAAGTAAACTGAATGGTGTATATATATATCATAAAATAGATCAGCATCTGCTGTTGGCTATCACTCTCCACCCATGTCATCTACGTAATTTGGACGCATCAGTTGTTAACCTAGAGAATCATCAGTAAAACATAATAAGTGAAAAATGTTTCCACGGTATAGATAAAAAAAAAAGTGGGAGCGTGAGCAGTTGTTTATTCGATAGCTTAATGGTAGCATTCAGAAAATAATCTGTGTTTTTACCTATATTAGTATCTAATCAAGTACGCAAGTATGGATTTCTGAATTGGAAAACCGTCGAACCCGCATGACTTTGAACAATGAAGAGTCATGGGAATCAAGGTGACAAAAATATAGTAATTACCGGCAGTAATCTTTTATAACTCAACAAAAGGAAGGTGTAGGTTTCACCTGAAGAAAGCAGGGTCCAATGTTGGCCCTCCTCATGTTCTGCCCAAATCTATAGCACGGGCAACTGCAATCATAAGGATATTCCATCATCAGTTCAAAGGAACAATGCCTCCTAATCCCATCTTTTATTAAACTACAGCCATTTGTATAGATAGACAAGCAGGAACTTCAAACGTAGGAAAAAATCACACGCTAACAGCCCCATAGTCCAAAACACCCCAAGATTAAACCTTCTAAGCATCGCAAATATAAATTAAGGGGAAAGCCCCAAGGTAGCAATGAGGCTTATAAAAAAAAAAATCCAAACTTTAACAAATAAATCGAAGAATCAGGGAGGGCGCGCTCACCAAACGGATTGAACCGCAATCCTCCTATCCTGGAGGCAATCAAGAATTTCTCCTTCCCACATCCTCTGAACTCCCCCGAATTCCCCCTCAAATCCCCCCTCCGCTTTCCTCGAAACCCCATGCGTTTGAAGCGCCACAGTAGCGCACAGCATATCAAAATCAAGGACCGTCATTCCTCCGTCAAGCTGATCTCTATGATTCCCCTCCTCCTCCTCCTGCTCCAATTCCGCCATCAATCGAGATCAACGGTTAGGGTTTTTGGATTTATTTATTCTCCCCCGCCCCGCCCCGGCCCCGGCCCCGGCCCCTAGTTTCTCCCTTTCTATTATTAACGCGGAGTATTTATCTTTTGGGAGGAGGAGGAGACGGTGCCCTACATTAATTTCGAAACAGGAGGGAGGGAGGGAGATCATAGCATTTCGGTTTCCCTTTTCTCGGTGGTGGGCACGTGAACACTGTGGTTGGCTGTCAGTTGTCCACGTCAGCTAACACCAATCATCGAGGCCGCCATCTGGCAAACACGCGCAATCAAATCAGATGCGGGCGAGGATATTGCTTTCAATCTTCTTTTTATTAAGAGCTTTGCTACAGGGAACCAAAATATGAGACCAATAAAAGGGACAAGTGAGGTGTCCCCCATCTATTGGATAATGAGTTGGCCATCATTAATGATGACCAACTCATTATCAAATAGGAAGATGACACCTCACTTGTCCCATATATTGGTCCCATATTTTGGGTCCTTAAAGAAATTTTCTTTTATTAAAATTAAAGAGAGGAAATATTTATGAACAGCGCGCCGTGAGCTGTGATTAAAATTGGGGATTGGGCTTATCCTTTTGGGCGGGTGGGGGGATGGATTAGGGCAGCAAAGGGATAATTAAAAAGAAAAAGGTGGGGGGAAAGGGACAGCTTTGACCTCGTGGACGCAAATCCTTGTCCACATGAGGACGGGACGAAGCATTTGATTGAGACGGGGACCATATTGATCGGCTCGGCTGCGGCGAGAAACTGAAGGTGATCAATTAGTTTAAAAATTGTAGGTCGCAGTCGGTCATAGCTTGAAAAGCTGACAGGATTATTGGTTAAGCTGCACAAGGGCAGTAGGATACTCACCCGCTCAAAGAAGCAGAGGAACCCATCCCTCTTTCACAAAATTCTTGAACAAATCCACCCCGCGTCCCCCTCAGCTTATTACGTTTACAGGGGAAATGACAATAAAATAAAGCGATGGAAACGCACCAACGAGAAACGCACCCTGACGCGGGGATGCCAGACACCTGTCTAGCTATTATTAAATTTTTGAGTTTTGCTACAGGGACCCAAAATATGGCACCAATAAAAGGGACAAGTGAGGTGTCCCCCTCCTATTGGATAATGAGTTAGCCATCATTAATGATGACCAACTCATTATCCAATAGGAGAGGAACACCTCACTTGTCCCCTTTATTGGTCCCATATTTTGGGTCCTTAAAGAATTTTTCTAAATTTTTATATACATGCTGACATCTCTACTGACATCTCTACGATGCAATGGAAAATGTCGGGTTGTCGCATAAAAGAGCAAAACTACCGGGTTCTTTCAGTAAAAACCCACACGCACCCGATGAACAATAATAACACGCCCTCTCTATGCGTAGGGTCCTATCTGTAAAAACCGAGAAGCCGCGCACCCGCACCAACGCTTGATCATTTTTGCTTCGGCTCCTTGCTCTCGCGCGTTCCACGCGCCCACCCACGAAGGTACACCGCACTTGCTCTCTTACGCGCAAACGAATGCACGACCCAAAAGGAACAAACCCTAACCCGAAAAAGACGCCACACCCCCCTAACGAGCGAGACTCCGATCGCGCCGGACGCCGCCGTCTCCCGCGCAAATCCCGCCGCAGCCAGCCTCCGCCCGACGGCCAGCCCCCCTCCCCCGGCTTCTTTCTCCCGCTCCTGCCGCCGCCGCGGCCAACACTCGCCACTGCTCCCACCGCCGGCATCGCCATCGAGCCGTCGACCTCTTCCGGACGAGTCGCGGCTCCCTTACGGCGTCAGGGTGGGCCGTCAGGAACTACCTCGCGGCCGCGGAGACGACCCGTTTCCTCCTCCACGTCCGCCTCACAACCACCTCCGTCCAATCTACGGCGCGACTGGGATGCGTCGTTCTCCCCTCCCTCTGAAGGCCAGACGCCTGACGCGGAGAGTCTCAGCATAAGCTGGAAGACGACGTTCGGGACGCCTTGTACGCACTGACTCTAAGGCTCAGGATCTCGCTCAGCCCCTGGTTGACGTTCGGCAGATCCGCCTTTCAAGATCTCACATGCGTGAAGGATCACGATATGAAGGAGAGGCGTGTCTTGAGGTCGAGGAGTGCTTGGGGCTTGAGCGGTCGTGTATTATGGGGGGTAGTCGAGGGTTTGGGGGCTTTCTATGTGAGTAGGGAGCAGGGCAGGCTGGGCGGAGCGGTGAGTTGGATTACTCTGGCGTGCATCTTGTGTGTGCCCCGTGGTGGTTGTCAGGTGTCCCCGATGACGGGGCTGGCCGAACTGGAGGCAGGGGCCCACCACGCGTGGAGGAGGGGGTTAAGGCGGACGAGCTGGGCACGCCGGTGTAAGGCGGCGGAGCTGCACCCGGTGCCGGAGGAGGAGCACGAGTGTCATCCTGATGCTGATGATGAGCAGAAGGGTAAGAGGGGATCATTACCGATTTTACCTATCCATCTATTTATTTACTTTTGCATAAAAATTTGATTTTGTTGCGAATCCCGTGGAAAGGAACTTGAGCCTAGTAGGGGTTTCGATGATTTAGGGCTTGAAAAAAAAAAAATCTTTGTCGATAATGCACGACATGCACCACCATCAACAAAGAAAACAGGGGTTCTTATGATTGATTGCTTCGGGGGACTATGTTAGCTTGATTGTGAATCTACTTCCTACTGGGGATGCCACTAGTTAGGTACACTGTTTTTCTTTTAACTTTATAAGGGTAAGGATGTGATTATTGATCATAGTTGTTCTATGTGGTGAAGAAAGGCAGGGAAGTAATAGGTAGTGTACAATGATCCGATTATATTGGTGTTTTGGGTTACTGAAATAAATCATATTTTCTGGCGTTTCGATTTGTTATTTGGAGAGTTGTGGTATCTACTTATTTCATTTCATGTAATTTTGCTAGTGAGTAGTAAAATGTTAGGGCTGTTTTGTCACTATAGAAAGATAACTCATTAGTAGTATTATGAGGCATGGAGAAGTTAAAGAACTTAATTCTGTTTAGCATCAGTTACCTAAGCTCGACGACCGGGACTAATTGAAGATGAGATGGTTATGATGAAACTAGTGTAGCATGCAAAAGTTCGACTTGTTGATTCTGTTAGGTTTTATAATTTTGAGTAAAAGCATAAAGCTTAGGCCTTAGGGCTTTTGGCTGAGTATCTAAACCTGATGTGTTCTTGTTATAAGATGTGGTGTTTGAGCATGCTAAGTTAAGTGAAGGCTTACTTTTGTTGATCCTGCTAAGCATGATCCTGATGAGTAGAATATCTCAAATATGGACTAATTTGTTCAGCTCAACTTTATGATGCTAAGAGTGATCTTTAGACTTTGTTTAACCTCTATTTTTTATTTGCTTCAACTAAATCAAGATGTGCTCTCAATTTGCAATTTCACAAAGTGTGAAGGAATATCAAGCAGAAGTCTATGACTTGAGTTGCCTTCGTACTCCATTCCTGTAACACTTATTGCTACTTACTGCCCTTGTTTGCTGAATTTTTTTTTCTTTGGTCATGCTATATTGTGAGACACCTATCCTTCCCCTCTCGGTCCAATGTATTATCTTGTCATTGGAGTGCATGCATCTGCTCCAAACATGTTGACTTTGCAAGTATCATCACATGAAAACTGTAATTTGAGAGCATAGTCTTCAATGTAACTCTTAACATTTGAGGAATTGACTGGCAAATTTTTGGTTTCTTGGTTCTGCAGATGTTTGATGAATTTCCAGTTTACGGCGTGGTCCTCTTCAGTCAAGGTAAAAGCATAATTTCACTAAGTATCCATGTTTTGGCATTTAATGGTGTTTACCGAAAGGGATTTACTTTATAGTCAATAAGTATCCATGTTTCGACGTTTAATAGCATTTATCAAAAGGGCTTTACTTTGTACGTTGCATGGGTCTAGCTAATTAGTACTTTTTATGTTGAACCATGACATATTTCATTCAGCTTTAGGTTTGGCAGACCAACCGACGTGTTTCACATTTGTATCAGTTTCAATTAAGAAATTGATCTGGTTGACTTAAAACATTAGGTGTAGATTTTTTTAAGGAGTAATCACGGCAAGATGCCCAAGAAATTTATTAACTAGAGGAAATGGAAACAAATTATACGCTAAGAGGATGAGGGAGAAGAGATAAGTACAATAAGAGGAATTGAAAGTAAGGATCAGAAGTGTAGGTTTTCCTTTGGTTGTTTTGTATCTATAAGCGTTTAGCCATTGCGTGGGTTCGCGTTTAGTCATTGCGTGGGTTCTCATTCATCTTTCTTTTATATTTTCGTCATCTTTTGTTATTTTCGTTGATCCTTGAAAATTCGTTTTTTTCATGGGTTATAATCCATGTCAATCTTCGTTTGTTTTGTTCCAATAGCATTTAAGTTTTCTTTTTTCAAAACTTGCGATTTCATGTACGATAACCCACAATTTTTAGTTTATTTTTGTCCGTTCAATCCAATGACAATTAATTATGAGTACTTCAAAACTTGCAATTATCATGGGTTATGTGACCTGTGAATTTTAAAATTTTCATATTTTTCAACCAAACAACAATTGAATTTTCTTTCTTTAAAATTTGTAATTTTCATGGGCCATACCCACTTTTAAATCCATTTTTTATCCGTTCGATTGAAATGAATATTAACTATAATTACTTCAAAATTTGCAATTGTCATGGGTTATAACCCACGATCTTTAAAAATTGTCTGTTTCGACTGAATGACAATTAAATTTATCTTTAGAATTCACAATTTCATGGGTTACCCCACGAATTTTTTTCTGTTTTCATCCATTTTAACCAAATAACAGCTAATCACGGTAGTTGAAAATTCATAATTTTCATAGGTTATAACGCATGATTTATGTGCATTTTCATTTGTTTCGACCCGATGACAATTAATTTTTCTTTCTTCAAAATAAGTGATTTTTAATTATCTATAACCAAAATTTTCTACATTTTTTTTTGTTTCAACCAAATAACAATCAATTAGGTGTATTTAAAAATTCGTAGTTTTCATGGCCTAATCCACGATTTTTGTCTATGTTGGTTCGTTTCGACCCGATAGTTAATTTATGATTTTCATGGGTTTGCCCCAACCGTACTCCAACTTGGTAATTTTCATCGCCTGTTCAAGGTTGAGCCTTGGGATTTGATAATAGTCTTGAAAAGCCACCTACAAACGCTTTAAACCCAATCATTCAGGATAAAGCTTATGTCGTCTTCCTTATTGTGGTCATTGGCACAAAGCTAATAGATGCTTATTCCTCAGATATCATCATTACATCTCTAAGAAAAGTTCATGACCTGTGAGCGTTGTACCTCCATGCGACATTGCTTCTTCGAGATCTTGCTCATTGTGAAAAATTCCCCATTGTTGCTTCCCCTGGGGTCTGTGGCCGTGTCTCCCAATGTGGCTGATTATCCTCTTAGACAAGCTATTGATCATTGCTTTTGTAAAGCAATTGCTAACCCACAATTTTTGTTAACTTTTGTTCAATTTGAGTGAATGGAAATTAAAATTTTTCTTTAAAATTCATGATTTTGATACACTATAATCCACGAGTTTTGTTAGTGTTCATTTGTTTTGATCTAATGGCAATTTTTTTAGTGTACTTTAAAATTCACAATTTGTTTGTCCTATAGCTCACGATTTTTTTGCATTTTTGTTATTTTTGAACCAACGCTGTCTAAATTTTCTTAAAAATTCTTGATTGTAGTAGGTTGGCCTATGATTTTTTCATGGGTTATGAACCATGGTTTTTTTTCCTATTTTTGTTCTTTTCTTCCCAATGTAAATTAAATTTTATGTTTCCAAAATTCGCTATTTATATAGGCTATAATACACGATCTTTATCCATTTTCGTTAGCTCTTACCCAATGGCTGTAACGCATGAAATTTTCCCAATCTGTCTATTTCAACTAAATTTTACTTAATTATGCATTTAAAAGTCGCGATTTTCATAGGTTATAACCCATGATTTTTTTCCAATTTTTATTTTTTTTTCCAATAGCAATTAAGTTTAGTTTCTTCAAAATTTGATGTCAAATCAGGATTTTGGCAAATAAAGACCAAGATCCTTTGTATATACAAAGAATGAACCTAAAGGAAGGAGTAAGGATATATATATACATATATATATATATATATATATATATATATTATTATATATATATATATATTATTATATATTATGTCTAAAGGTAACTCATTAGGCTCCATCTAAGGACGCGCGTTCTGGAACCGTCCGTTCTAAAAAACTCCAATGAATCTGAGTCGTCCATTCAATAAATCAACCCCCAAAAAACAAATCCCACCCAAATATTTTGGACCGCATTCTCCTCTCCTCTTCCCTCCTCTCCTCCACCTCTTCTCCGCATCAGCCCGCCCGCGCTTAGCTCTGCGAGCAGCGACTGCCTACATCGTCGGCGCGGCTCAGCTCGCTGCCCGTGGCCCGTCTCCCCTCCTCTTCGCCCGCGCTTTAGGTCCGCCCGTTGACGCTCAGATTCGTCGAGCAGCGACGACCCCAGGCTCGCCGACCTCAGCTACCTGTGTCGTCGCCGCTTCACGAGGTCCGCGCTCGCACTGCGCACCCGTCTCCCTTTCGCCCGCGTTCAAATCCGCCCGCGTTCAAATCCGTCGCTTGTGCTCTGATCCGGTCGTGCCGAACTTCGCCGCTCGCCTCGCCGCCCTCATCACAGATCTCCTCCACCCCCTCCTCCACCCGCGAGCTGTTGCCTTCAGAGCTCGCCACCCGCGAGACATCGCGATCGTCGTCGAACCTCGAGTTCCACCTTCACGCCGAGGAGGACCTAAGTTTGCCGCCATCCACAATCCGTCGAGTTCCTCTCCGCCATCTCCTCCGCCACAGCGCGCCCGCGATCGCTGTTGTCGGAACTCGCCTCGACCTTTAGTAGTGGGGCATGTACTCATTGCTCACACTTAAGCATGTCCTAGAGGTTTTTAGTAGCATTTCTGGATTGGTGGTTAATCCTAGCAAATGCTCAGTTTTTCTAGCACGGGTGGATGGCTAAGTGTGATATATGGAATGCTTTAGGTCATACTGAGTGTCTTCACCATTCAGTTATTTGGGTGTTCTTTTGGTGTGTAAAAGATTTTTGTTTCAGAATTGTTCTCCATTATTCTTTTGGTGTGTAAAGGACTTCCATTTCAAAATTGTTCTCCATTATTATCTAAATTAGCTTCTCAGTTTCAAGCTTGACAGAGTGGGAAGCTATCTTATGCAGGGAGACGTCAATTGTTGAGTGTTACTTTTGACACACTTGTTTTCTGGACTTCTAATTATACACTTCCAAAGAAAGTGTTGCACATGATTGATTGATGATATGAGTAGAATGTTCCTTTGGGCAGGTTCTCATGAGGACAAAAAAGTGTCGCTGTTTGCTTGGGAGAAATTGTGTCAGGATATCAAATGTGGAGTCAATTTGAGTTTTGGTGCTGGGTTAAAGCTGCTATGGTATTCATGTAAAGAAATAATTACTATGGATCAAATGGATCCATGATAATTATTTAAGAGGAACTACCATTTAGAAAGCTTTGTTGAGAATCAATGACTCTTGGATGTGGAAGCAGGTGCTTAAAGTGAGAGATAAAATAGTTACAATGTGGGTTTACAGAGAATGTTATTGCTGAGCTAATTGCTTGGTCTTACCAAGGAAAATTCAAGAGGTACAAAACTTGAATAAGTGGGTATAAAATTTTTTGTCCAGAACAATGCGTTACAAAACTTGCGTAAGTGGATACAAAATTGAGCTAAGAAGGTACAAAACTTAAATAAGTGAGTACAAAAATTGAATAAATAGGTACAAAATTAAATAAGTGGGTCTAATAATTGAGCAAACAGACCCAACCCCAAACCATCAGATACCAATATATTGAAGTATACCATAAGCCACAATCATTCACCATAAAAGTAAACAACATAACAAAAATAATATATCAGCTTACCGATGCAAACACCAAAAGATGTAAAAACTTCACAGGAATCATTTGTCAACATACAAAAACAATTCCTTCTACATATGGCAAAAAGCTCAGAGAATAGCAAAGGCCTAAATAACATTTACAATGAACATTCTGTTATTTTCACTTATCCACATAATATCATCCACATTCCCATACACAACACCAACCAAGAAAAAAATTAAAATAAGATTTACAAAAATGAAGAATCGCGTGCATACAAGAGAGCTGCACAAAAATTTGCTCTGTACTTTGCACAATCTCCTGAGATTGTTATTGATCGCTTTTTAAAAAAGCTGTTAATGAATTCAAGCATAAAGATCCCACAATCTAAGGTTTTGCATTTAGCAAAAAAATATTCGATATAAAAAATGACTGTGAAAAAAATGAACTATTAAATTACTATATAGATCCTTTTAATTTGTTCGAAGCCATGACTTGGGGGCTACGATTACGACAAAGTGGAAACTCGCGGGTGAGGCCGGGAGCGGCAATGGCGAGTTGGGAACTCCCGCGCGACGTGAAAGGATCTTCGACGGCGGTGAACGTGGGCGGAGGAGAGGAGGCGGGTGGAGGACAAGACACGGCGGGGTCGAGGGAGGCTGGCGGTCGGCAGATGATGTGGTAGCTCGGTTCGCATGGCTCGGGCGGATTTGAGCCGTGGCGGTGATCTGAAGAGTGGGTGAAGAGGAGGGGGCAGACGGGCGAGGCGGCGAGTGCGGACGCGGTGAACGAGCGGCGATGCTGGTAGCTAAGGTAGACGATCTACGTGCTCGTG